ATATATATATATATATATAATGTGATACTCGATATTCATAATTTCTTTATTGATTTAAAAGGGCAAGGTGTCCTTTTTATCAAATTAATAAAATTTCGGATCTTCATTCTTTTACTTATTATTCATTACATGAAAACACAACGCATACAGAATACATGCAGCATGCGTGCATCTTATCTGCTCAAGATCAAGATACAGATCTTTGATAAAAGGAAATTTTGCATTCTTGTCCAGGGGGCGCCTTCAGATTTTGACAGATACCTGCCCGGAGTTTTCATTCAAAACCGGACGAGCGTGAACGCTGAGAAGACGAAGTTTCGATAAGTCTCACGAATACTCGCCGCGACACGTGCGTAAGAAGTAAATACGATATTTCTGTATATTAATAAATATTGTCCAAATAATTTGAGTCAATATGAAGATGTATCGGCGCACTGCACCAGCGAATCGAACACCAACGAAGGTGAGATTTAACTTTTATGTCGTGATTTTTAATTTTTAATGACTTTGATAAAACTATGATTTAAAGTGTTAAATTAAATGATACATTGATTTGTTTTGAAATTTGGTATTTTAAAAACATCTTCCTTTTGATTTTTTTTGAAAAAGAAGTACACGGAGATTCAGGTGAAATTATCGTACTGTATGGTAATAACATTTCTGTTTAAAGAAAACAAAAAAATAAAATTCTTAATTATATTTAAACCAGAGTACTTAAACCATTCAGTTGTAATTTTTTTAATTCATATGGTTACGGTCTCCCTGAAATTCTGGTTTACCAAATTATAGTTCTTATTATTATCATATATCTAGTTAGAAATATAAAACTGAAAAGTAAGTTTGACCGAAAAAATTATTTTTATTCCATGTTATAAGGTATCATATAAACTTAACACACTTACTAAATTTTAACACTTATTATAAAACTTTTTCATATATTATCATATTATATTAAAATTTTATTAACATGTTATATTAAAATTTTATTATGTATTATAAAAGTTTGACCGAATAAATGGTTTTTATGCCATGTTCGAAGGTATCATACAAACCTAGCACACTTACCCAATTGTATCACTATATTTTATATTTGTATTTCTATAAACTATATTTTATTGTAAATTTTACTAAAGCATCACCGAACCGCTTCTTTAAAATTATCGAATTTTTTAATGTTCCCATCGAGCCAGAATTACGTTAAATTTTACTATACTCAGGTAATTTTGACCTTTTTTTCCCTCAGTGTTATTAAATTTGAGCGGAGCTATTTTTCTTTTAAGTTTCTCTATATATTCATTAAAAAATGGACGTAAGTGTTATTTCAATGATAGTAAATACAAAATACCGAAAAGTTATTAGACCGATACATTATTATACTGAAACTTTTTTTTAAAGATACTGATTATCAACATTTAAAAACAATTGAAATCAAAAACTAAAAATAAGAAACATTCAAAAACATTTATTTCTTCATCATTCTTGAATAAATAGAGTTGAAAAGAAATTTCATGTTTCTAAATACATCAGTTAATTTTTATAATAAAACTTAGCTTTCTTAAAAATATGTTAGATCATTTTAGGAATTTTTTAGAAGAGCTATAGATTTTGTTTAACACAACAATACTTCACTTATGTTTTTTTCATGACCTTTAAACAACATAGCAATGACAATTTATTAGTTGAAGCATTAATTTTTTTCGCACACTTTTATATCTAAGATGCACTTAAGGAAATTCTTGATTAAATTATGCTAACAAATACCGGCTCTCAGGATGCTGGCATTTTCAAAGTAAAATCCATTTTTACCGGAACATCTTTTGGAACAAAACTAATCTGATATACAGCAAATTTCACAGCAATAGTTACTGCAAAATCACTGAATCACTCTAATTAAGTAAATATTACAAAAAATTACGGTGTAAAAATTTTCAGCAAAAATAGATCTTACGGATGATGCCTGTACTTTATACCGAAATTTGATAAGTAATTCTTACAATGTACGCAAGTTTAGTTTCTCGTAAGTTAGTTAAGTTAGAGGAAGACTTTTTTAATGGTGATGGTACCGCTACCGTTAAAAAAACGATATTTTGTTCTTTGTAGTTTTTTACTAACTCAGAAATACTTTGAAAAAAAGAAGGTGTCTAGAGGTTTGTTAGAAACATAATCAGAAGCTCTTTTTTCATAACTTTAAGTTTGTTAATTCCTCATTGTGTAGTTTTCTTAAAATACATTGTTTAATTTAAGAAAAAGAATTGAAATGAAATGGAAAAATTTCACTGAAAGACAAAAGATCGGAAATTAAAAAGGAATTAATTTTTGTTTTATTTTTTAGCCAAACAAAACAAAAAAGGTAAAAAAAATTCTTTTGTCTCAAAAATAATTCAAATGAAAAGAGTTCTTTATAATTTTCTTTTTAATATTTTAAATGCATTAAAGAAATATTCACTTTCAGTCTATATGTGTTACTAAAACTATATTTTTTCAAATATAGATAAATTAAAAAAAATAATTTCTGGACAAACTATTTATATTAAAATTTTTTTAAACTATTACATTCAATTATTTTTTATTATTAACCACTCGAAGGTTTAATAAAGAATATACTATTTTATCATAATCTTAATATCGTAGTAGATCATTAAGATGAAAACATGTAATCAACTAAGTCAACTACCTAATTTACCAAATTCCTATATTTACCAAAACAAATGTTTGTTCCATAACGAAAATTAAATACAGGTTGAAATACGATTAAAAATTTTTTTATTGTCTGTTTCTATTATTTCTTCTCATTTAAAAAAAGCAAATTGACTTTATTGATCCAAGCTTTTTTTATTGAAAACAATGCATAATGACTTATGAAAAAAATAAAAACCAAATTATGAGAAAACTATCTCAGTGAAGGAAAAAGAAATATACGATTGGTGATCATTAGCGACAAAAGATTGAAAGAAAACTTTTAATGCTTTTTTTCTGTTTTTATTTCAAATTTTTCTTATTCCAAATAATTTTTTTTAAATAATTCATTAAATTTCGGAATCTTCATAAAAATAATAATTAAATTATTTCATAATTTAATATGAAAAATCTAGTGCTCCGGATTAAATATTTTTAGTTTTCAAGGATAAATTCCCTGAACATGTTTATATTTAAAGTAAGAATTTTAAAGTAAATATATTTAAAGCAACGTTAAGTATTGTTCCTAGAACAGTTTAACTCAGAACTAAGCATTTAAAACAAAGTTAATGCTAAAAATTAAATGTAGAGGGAGAAATTATATAATTTTAGCGAAATTTGGGAAATGAATAAAATTTGTTTTATTAATAGAAGGGCTTTTAACGTATTGTGATAAACCACATTTTCAAATTTATCAGGGGAAAGTTGAATTGGTAATGGTTAATAAATACGCACGAAGGCTAGTTTGTCTCAATGATTGATCCAGGAGTTCCCTTGTCTTCTGGATTGGATTCAAAATTATAAGGCTACACAGTTGAATATTGACAGTATCGTAAACTCTGAATCAAGACGGCTGTTCAACGCTGGCAATAAAATAAAATACAAAATCAAAAAATAAAGCAAGGAAATAGGCATAGTTTCGTCAAAACTCCTTTTTATTCCGAAACTTAATCTACTTTATTTGGATCTCCCCCTTTTAGGTTTTAGATACATAATTTTGGGATTTCAAAATAAATTCACTAAATATGCTTATCTGTAAAGCATTAAGCATTGATTCTAGAACAGTTTAACTTTCAATTACGTATTTTTAAAGAAATAAGTGCTAATAAATTAATTGTTGATTGAATATGTTGCGTGTTGTTTGAAATTATATTTAGCGGAGTTGAATAAATAATTTTCTTTCGGTTTATGAAAAGATTGAAGGAAATATAGTAATAAGGCATATTTTAAAATTTTTATGTGTTAAAAAAATTTGCTGCTTACTTTTAAATAGGCTCTCTGAAAAACCAGTTAAATTTTAATCCTTATTATTGATACCTTGCAAATTTGATACCTTGCAAATACGGGGTAAATTTGTAACTCCCTTAAAAATACAATATTTCCGCTCAAGTTAAGCAATCGTATCGTGTAATCGAGTTTAAAAATTAAGATAATGTAATTTGACTTAGTACTCTATTAAGGTAATTGACGGAGTTAAACTAATTTTTTTTTAAGAAACAGACTTAATTAAATTCTATTTTTATTAAGCAGGGATCATAAAATTATAATTTTAAAGTAAACTTTAAAAATTATGAGATATTTTTTCAAATAAATGGCGAATTTGGGCAAAAACTAAAAATTTTTTTTTGCCACGCTAACAGCTTTACAACAGAAATTACTTAAAAAGTTTGTTATAAGTCGGACAGCCAGGTGGACCGGTAGGGTTTAATAGTGCGAAGCAATTAATTGCTAATCCCAATTGTCGCAGGTTAGATACACGGTAAAGCCTAATTTCTAAAAATTATATTTAGGGAAAAATTATTTTTTTTAAAATTCATTTTACAGTGTTGTAACGTAAATAAAATATCTCGTTATTTAATATTATTATTTTCTCTGAGTGCGTATCTAATAAAAGAGTTAAAATTTAAATATTGTTGCTCATATACTGTATGTGTGTATATGGCCCTATATCTCCTTTTAACATTAGTCTATAATATTCTCCCTTTAATATTAACCAATAATTTTTATTTAAAAAGCACCTATAATTTAATTATAATTATTAACTATTTCTATAATAATTTTTTTCGATGCTAATTTTTTTAAATCAAATATTTTTTTGTAGATCAATAATATGTTATCTGAGTTTTGAGAAAAAATCTCAATTATAAAATATTAAAAACATAATGAAACAGAACTGAACATATTGCTTAATATTGACTTTTTACAAGAAAATTCTCAAACATTTTTAATTAGAATATAAAACTAATAAATTCATACTTAGACTTTTGCTCTTGTTTAAAACATAGTTAATATTACCTAAATTATACATTCAAAGTTTCAACGAATTCTGTAATAAACTTTCTTTCTAACGTAAGGCAGTGTACAGAGATTTTTTCAAAATCAAATTTTTTCAGAAAATGCCTTTAAAGTGTGTAGTTTTCAAAAAATACTAGAATAATTTAGCAATTAATTAATAAAAAATTAATTGTTCAAAATTTAACTATAATTGTTCAAAATTTAACTATATTTGTTTTAAAAATATAATTTAAACAAATTAAAACTGTTAAATAACTCAAAATATAGCAAAAAACAATATAGTTTCGTTTTCGGAGGTTACCCCCGGTTTCCGTTTCGTCTGTCAGCATACGAAAAAAACATCTATAACTTCATTTTTAAAGATTGGTGTGCAAAACTTGTTACAGATTTAGAAAGCTAGTAAACTAATGTTCCTGAATTGTCGATTAAAAAAGGAAAGGAGTAAAAAAATCGAAATTTTCGTCACAATTGCCGATTTTTATCCAATTTGAT